CATTTTATATACGTATAATCGTAAGCAGAATTCCATCTTGAAATCTGATGGATTATGAATCTAATCGTCTAAAGTAGCTTTAACGGGATAGAAAATATACAACTGCAGTTACGATAGTTACCGACATAATATGCATTTTATTCGCAGGTTATAAGCGAACCATCTAAAGGAAGCGTCGCTTATACACGGTAAGAACTCCTCTCGAAGGAAGACAAATTGCAGGCGAAAATACGGTAACGGAAGCGGCAATTTTCCGTAATATCGATACTACAAGGATGCGGGCTATCCAGTGTTACGTTTGCCTTGCGCTGCTGCTGCTGATGACAGCGTCGGCCGTCCCGGCGTCGTCGAAGGGCGACTCGGCCAAGATGAAGAAAACCACGGCGACCACGTCCGGAGGACACCTCGGCAAGAACACCTCGGCGATCACCGCGACGACGGCAGCGTCGAGGCCGATCGCCGCGAACGCCACGTTACATTCGTCTTCCTCGATCGCGACGACGACGAGGACGACGGCGACGGTGCCGCAGACAGCCGCTACATCCGCCACGACGACGCTGAAGCTACCGGCGTCGTCAACGACAATCGCGGCGACAGCGACGGCGACGGGGACGGCGACGACGGCGACAACGACGACATCGTCCGCGTCGCCGTCGCTAACATCGTCGTCCACGGCGAGTCTTCCGACCTCCCGTACTCCACAGGATGGCTCGAGTCCCACCTACATCACCGAGACGTCGCCGAGGATAATCTCGCCTACTCAGCATACCGCAGCCACGGTGTTGTCATCGAGAAAATCAGCGGCTTCTGCAACCGCCGCAGTCGCCGATGTCACGACCAGTGCGCCTTTGACGGCCAAGGAGACGCGGGAATCGCCCGGAAAGATTAGACCGCAAATCAAACTGACAACAAATTACACCACCGCCAGCGAGGTAAGCGCATTAATTCTAACCGATCGACCGACCGACCGACCGACCGACCGACAGACAGACAGACAGACCGACCGACCGACCGACCGACCGGTTGGTCTATCCCTCCCGTCTCTACCTGCACCCGCGTCTCCGCTAATCGTGTTTCTTGTATTGTTCCGTTTATTTTGCCTTAACTGCCGCCGGTCTTAACTATCACGGCACAGATTCCCGGCTTGTAATCGCTTTGCATGATGAATGGTCGCGAGCTCAACTCAGAAATATCCAAGTCCTAATTGGCTTATACGTTAAGCCGGTCGCGTCGACGTACCGCCGCGAATTCCGCAAAATCCCCGCGACGGCTGCTTTATGGCAGTCATGCAGGTTTCGCAAACGCGAAGTGATTTTCGAAACGTCGACATCCTACACGGTTTAACGTTTAAATTGAGGCAGCGCGTCATCCGGTGAATTTCGCTAGGAAATCAGAAATCGTCCGGAAGATAAGCGAGGAAGTCCTCTCCTCTCGAGAGATCAGCGAGGAGAAAACTAGTGAAGAAGCGAGAAATAATCTTCGTTCGTTCGTTTCGTTCATTCACGTGTCCTTTGCTGTCTCGTGAAATAACGTTGGATAAGTCGCAATACGTTTCATTACGTTTTATGCCCGCCGTTCGATAATTCCATAATTAACGTCCCTCCTCTAACTTGCGCGGATGCGAGAGAAATTAAACTCTCCAGTTCATCGAGTAATAATATCTGCAACTCCAATCGTGGAAAAAGTTCCACGAGTTACTCGTTAAACGTATATATTATTGGTGTATCCTAGATCCTGGGCAAATTATTCCAAGTAAATCGGAAAGCAATATAGATAGAAGCTAGGAGAAAAAAATTACTTCACATTCGCGCTTATCGAAAAAGATTAGACGTGCTACAAAATTCCTGAAGTGCCGAACGGAACTCTTTTTTTTCTTCTTCTTCTTCCTCTTCTCTATCGGCGCGATGGAAAAGAATCCCAAATCTACCACTCCTGTTCGGCCCCTCTCTACTTTAAGCGAGTGCAGAAAAGCGTGTATCCGATGATGCGCGATAGAAAGGAACCCAGATTCGAAGTTATACAGCCAGCATAGAGGATCGTATGGGGTTTGAGGGAAAAAAATCCCATATAGGTCGACCGAGAAAGTAGCGTGTGTGCACCGTAACGTACCTCCGCGTACGTAGAAAATACGTATCTAATGCGCCCGCCGACGTAGACGACGAGAGCGTGGACGGATAACGCGTATGCAAAATGGCAAAAACGAGAAAGTAATCGGCATTCGGATACGGCTGGACGTCGTTACGGGACACATCGTAATTATCCAAGTTAATCGAGTGTGTGCCACGCTCCGTTCGCGATAAAGCAAGATGAATCAGGCAATTGGGTCACACCTTAGGCAAATTTCTTTCATAGCCGAGGGGAGAAGTCATTTCTTTTCTTTTCCATGTTTTCCTTGCGCACGCAGACCTCTGTAGTCGCTTCTAATTTACATGTCTTCAGACCTCGTCTCTCCCCCTCTCTCTCTCTCTCTCTCTCTCTCTCTCTCTCTCTATCCGCATTGAGATAACGGCGGTACATATCGATGTTATATGAAACCGTTGAGTCATTTACGATCAAATAAGCGAACATAACGCGTCTTGATTACAAACGAACGATTTCGTTCCGTGGAATACGGTAAATCCGCCGCGTTCGCGCGCACGAGGTAACGGGGTGCGCGGAGTCATTAATAATAATTAAGTATCCTAACGTATCCGTAATAACCGCGCGAACGCTAACGACGGCAATGCGTAAATTGAGTATGTAATATCTCACGTGATGGAGTTATCTGTCCCGTCCGGTGGGTTGCGAGACGCGAACTTAGTGCGTACGGTCACGACGAGATTACGCCGAAAGAAAGCCTTATTATATACACTGAGAAAAAAATGGCGTTGCACCAACAGTATTATTTTAATTTAAAATAATTTTGTTAATTCACACACATATATACATACAACACTATTAATCATATCGTGCTATTGTTTTGATAAAATTTTATTTGTCTCATTAATACTGTTGTTGAATTATTATTATACAACAAGATGATTTTCAGTTAAAATAATGCTGTTAATGTAACATAATTACATTTTTTTCAGTGTACTATTAAGAACCGCCATCACGTCCCAACGTCACGTTTCATCGTACGAACAGTGTCGTGAATGATTACATTTTACGTCAAAATATATATTTTATTTTCAATCACGATGCGCTCTCGTCGTTAAATTATGTACGAACCAATAGAGAAAGGAAGGAAGACGAAAGGAATTCTCCCTCTGAATAAGAATAACATATGCGTCTAATTAGGAGTAAATTTAATCAACTGCGATTTAATTAATTCCTCCGTCAGATCGTAACACTCGCCGGCGAGTGTGATATAATAGAGACAGGAAGAAAATTCAATTAACCACGGCTTAATTATCCGTGATTAATTGAATTCACTTCCTCTACCTGTATCGTGGCCAGCGCTATGATCTGAAAAGAGGGACGAGGGATCTATAGACCGCGATCAAAGTTAACCACCAACGCCGGTGAAAATTGGTCGAACCCTGGCTTCGCCGACGGACGGAATTTAATTGATATACGTCATATGGAGAGAAAAAAAATTTTGTTAATTTAACAAACTATCAATATCTGTAGCAAATTTGATTCGTAGGTATAGTGACAACAAAAATATGTCGGTATGCCGAAAATGAATATGATTTGTTACTTTTGTTGTCCAAGATAATTCTTCCGACTGATGCTAGTCGTTATATTTGTCGTTGCTAATGTTATAAGTTATAACAACTTTTTCTACCTACAAATATAATAGGACAAATGTGATTTGTATATATTGTTTGTTACATTGAATAAGGAGAGATGATTCGTGTAATAATAACTGATCGATCCATTTTCAATGTTGTTGATACACACATTTCTCATTCTAAAATTCCATAACTTTTCCTGATTTCGAGGCCAAATTTCACGATTATCTCCAACTTCGAATATTTTGAAATTTTATATATTTTCCATCCAATTTTGGAAGCCATCAAATATTTTATTGAGAGTATAATTTAACGTAGAAATGCAAATTACTATTAACGTTGCTGACATTGCTCGAATTTAATTCATCACATTCAATTAAATCATTTAACAATTGTTAAATTGGTAGTATTCCGAAAACTAAGAATTGGAATTTTCCAGAAAATCTCGCAAAACTCCCTGGACTCTTTCCCTAATTTCTCTGACCTCCAGTTTCGCAGCAATCCTAGCTTTTTCGAGCAAATCATCACATGTAACGAATCAGTTTACGTTCTAATAATAAACTCAGTGTACTCGGTGTGCGTTGCAACGCCCCGGGGAAGTCACGCCGGTGCTTCACGGCAAACTGGTACAAATGAACATACAATAAGTGCATGTGAAAGAACGACTCCAACGGGTAATTGCGGGTTGCGGAGGTGATACGAGTCGCACCATTCATCCCGATATCGAATGAAAATCGCTGGGAATCGTTCGCGTGCGTGAAGCACGTACGCCTCAGCCGAGGCATACCGATTTCGCCCTGGATCTAGCGTATGGGAAGTCGGATATCCCTCGTCACTAGGGCGGGAAAAGTGATGCGAGACAGATTATCTTGCTTTATCGTTGAGAAGAGAGGCGGCGAGGCTTCGACAGTCATAGAACAGCGCGTTTCTCCACTGAGAGAAATGAATTTGTTATAGGAAATCAAGGCAAAGCAAATGTGATATTTGTTTAAAAAAAAACGATCGATTTGTTACGATTGCAAATTAATTCGTCAATATAAGAAATAATCAATAGTATCGCTAGCAGATAAGAGGCTCACATATACAGGGTGTTAGTTAAGTACGTTGCCATACTCGACGGAGCGATTCTTTGGTTTATTTCAAGTAAAACAGTGTGCATATAAACATGTGTCGGAAACGGCTTAGTTTCCGAAATAAAAAAACATTTAAACGTATAGTATAATAATCTATTACTTATTTGAAAGAAGTGCAGCTTGAACTAGTCAAAGGCAGAAAAACAAAAACAGGCTTCGGTTCTTCCAATGAAATCAAACAATTAGATGAATTGTTGAAAATGTCCCACGTTGATTAAAGGTACCGGTGGCTTATTTAAATTAACAAAATCCTTTCTCTCGGTGTTTCATGCCGAACGCAACGGCTACGTTTCTACGACAGTTTCTTTGGCGAAACAGCACTTCTTCCGATTTATACGTATCGTATTGTAGGGAAGGAAGCACGCTCGGTCAAACACGATTATTACAGTATGCACACACGTATGCATCAGTCACGGATGTCTAAGGGTAACGATCGTATCTTGAACGCCCGTTGTCGAGTTAAACGTTCGATACGCGTGTTCGTATTATTGGAACAAATTCCCGATTTTACCACGTGCTGTAATCGACCGTGCTCTGTTTCCATTTCATTATATAATCCTCCATTTGACTTATTACCGTGCGATCATTATTATCGTACTTTCTTCTTAGCGGACAATCATTCCGAATCGTCGGAATAATGTGCGTTAAGTGTTTTGCCTTAATCGAAAACATTTATCGAGGGCAAACACCTGGTACTCGATAGTTACCCCTTCCCTTGGCTAGCGGTATAAAATACCGACATCCTGTATACGTAATAAAACTATGTTGCAAAATAAAGTGGGCACGCCGGGGATCATTACCCGTGGAACTTTCTGCGCGGCACGCTTTTAGGAAGGCGTATTTTCAAATGATGCAAATCGTAATTAGACGGCGGATCGAAGTAGACCGCCGAACGTATTAAGATTGGAATAACCCCGCTTTCTGCCTATAAGGCAGAAATCTATTAGCCGCGGATTCGCGGTAGTGGATTCTCGATTTGCGCTTCCAATGATAACGTCCGCCGTAATTTCCCGTCCCGTGAGTATTTGGGATTTGCTGCACCTCGATCGTGCTCCTCTCGACTCTCGATCCGTCCGCCGGCAT